AATAAAATTCACAATATTATGAAAAATTGTGGTTCAATTTTGAAAATCAAGATCAAGAAGGCACAAATCATCAAGTTATAGCTATGACTGCTTCATAATCATAGGTGTGGGCAGTACATATATTTAGTACATCCAGGAATAAATTAATTTTGTCTGTTACAAGTTACATTTTACATACTTCACACATTTTGCAGAAAGAATATGCACAATGTATGGTACAACTTTTGCGTGTTATTATTTTTGTGCTTTTGTCGTTTAAGAAGGTGCTGGTATTTATTTCAGGAGCACGATAATGAAGCAGAAACTGTGATAAGTAGTCTGGCCAATAATTACGATGACGATGAACTGGATATAGGCAAGTCAATCAGCTTTATTTAAATCAAATTTTAATGAAAATCTCACTAATGTTACCAATAATATTCTCTTAGAAACTGCATTGTATTTATGATAATTGATATTTACATGTAAATGTTACATGTATTTTGTTTTCTCTAGCTGTGAAGCTTGTACAGGTGGACAGATACAGAACCAGGTTAAAAGAGCGTGAACGTCGGAAACGAATCGCCAGAGAATATAATCTAATTCAAACTGCAGCATCACTCATCAAACCCAAATCACAAACCCCCAAAAAGCGCACATCTAAAGAAGAAAAGTAAGTGGAGTTATATTAATCACATCTATTGATACGTCTACATACCAAGCTTATATTAATGATTATTTCTATAAAGTTAAAATCTAGAAGTTTCATTTACAGATTTAATAAAGATAAGATAGAAGAAAAGTAATTGCTGTTAAGTTAATTAAGTACTAGCTTATATTGTTCTTTAGTGTTTATGTTTGTTGTCGGAGTAATGCATATGAATGTGTTTTTTTTTTTCATGAAGGGAATTCCAGGAGAAAATGAAAATATTTGCTCAATTCCAGTCCTCATCGGATCATGAACAGTTTCTGGAGAAGTGTCAAGGTGGGAATATTCATCAAGTCTTGAAACTGAGTTTACTACACAAATCAAACTCAGACAAATTTAACTTAAAGTGCAATTCATATACTTGTTGAAATTTAAGTGAAATGAGATTTGTAGTATTGTGTACTTGGTGAATTATTACTGCTTCACTTCATTCATTAGAATTCACAGGCAAGCTGTATCTGTTGTCATTAATTAAAAAAATAATTGTTTTTTCTTATCTATGTGTATATAATATATCTGTTGTCATTAATTAATTAATTAATTATCTTATCAGAGGAGAAGGAGCTGAAGTCCAGAATCACAGAGCTGTGGAAATACAGGGAGAACGGGATCACCAAAATGGATGGTACGTAGCTCGCTCATCAAGTCTCTATTGTACAGTCACAGACTGGTGTAAATAAGCTGAAACACTTATGTTTAAATTATATATACATGGACTGTGTATTACAGTAAAAAAAAAAGATTAAGCATATAAGTTTGGGTCTCTGAGTTGAATTCTTCAAAATGTGTAGAACTTTTGTTTACCATTGCAGAGGTCGATGATTATGAGGATGAATTGTATAAGCGAGAGAAGAAAAAAGAGAATAAGAAAAAATTGGTGAGTTCTGGAATCCTGTAGTTCTATTAAGTCGACAGATTCTTTCTACTGTACAAGTAGGTCTCAGTGATAAGTCACAATTTTGTTAAATTATTAGCTGTTCTAATTTCTTACTTGATAAATTACAATTCTATTTAATTAACTATACAAAGTTTTAAGTGATAAGTGACTGTGATGTTAACATATGAAAAGTGACTGTGATGTAAACATGTGATAACTGTGATGTTAACATGTGAGACCTCTCCCCCTAGGGCAGCTCCTCACCAGTAAAGAGGGTGTCAATGGTCTCAAAAAAAGCCGCAGGCGGTATAGAGTGAGTACTATCTTAACCTCAGTTATTAAGGTTCACTGCGCCTCTGATAAGGGGAAATAATTCTTACTTAAAGTAAAATTTCTATCCAAATGACAATTTTAAAAAATGTCAAATTTTGTACATTGATCAGTGTTTTATATTTGATTCCATTTCATTTACAGAGAAAAATTAGATATACTCATCGACGACGAAGGTAAAGAATTTTAATTTTAAAAGTTGATACCGTAAATCTGGAAATTTTTGCTGTAGATAAATTTTTAGCAAATTTGCGAGTTCATTGCATTCGCAAAAATATTGTAAAGAGGTAGATTCACGTACTCCATAAAATGGCCCTGTCAATATACTAATTAACCGACCAAGTCCTTACGTCCTATTTCGATCATCAACATAAAGTAGAGACTTAGTGCTTTCATTTCCTATAAAAAAAATTCCTCTGAGAGTCCAAGTTTGGAAACTCAGGCGTTGTGAAACTGCAATGTTCTTGATTTTTGAAGAAAATGGGTGAAATTGAGCATCTTCAACTTTTGATAAAAATATGAGCCCACCCTGCGATCCAAAAATTCTTTCATGGATTAGGATCTTCTAAAACAGTTATTTCATTATTTAATTCAACATTTTAGATCAGAGGTTGGGGGCTATGCAAAATATTAAAAAAAACAGCTTAAATTTTTGGTCATTCTTAATGAAATTTTCAAGATTTGAGGAAAATGACGAAATTCATGACGTCATAATACATAGACAAGAGAAAAAATAACGTCATTTTTATTTGATATGAAGTCACCAAGGTTCTAAGTAAAATATAACATATTTTCAACTAAATTTGAGTAGTTCTTATTTTTTCAGAAATTCACAGGGCCAAAAATGGACCAGTGTGAACTTTCTTCTTTCCAATAAGAAAATGTGAACAAAGCAATGTTCATTCGCAAAATTTTGAAACGTAAAATTTGTCAATAGCATTTTGACCCGAATTCGCAAAATAAATTCGGCGTAAAAATTTCCAGATTTATGGTATGTATTAAATAGTATAAACACAGATAGAATTTTCATCTTCTAGAGATTTGGGAAATTATGCACAGAAAAAAGTTTTCCAGTGGTAGAATGAACAAAACATAATCATGAAACTGATATCAATGTTCATTTATGGCTCTTTTATTTCTTTAAAACTTTGAATCTTCAAATAGTTCATGTAATCGCAGTATGATATGAATTAGATATAAATAAATACATTTCATACATACATGTATTTCAGGGTTAAAAGATGAAGGAGAAGAAAATGAGATGAAGGATATGTCCATACTGCCCAGCTATGGCATGCTGTCAGAGAGAGAGAAGAAGGTAAGGATATGTCTATACTCCCCAGCTATGACATGTTGTCAGAGAGAGAGAAGAAGGTAAGGATATGTCCATACTCCCCAGCTATGACATGCTGTCAGAGAGAGAGAAGAAGGTAAGGATATGTCTATACTCCCCAGCTACGGCATGCTGTCAGAGAGAGAGAAAAAGGTAAGGATATGTCCATACTCCCCAGCTATGACATGCTGTCAGAGAGAGAGAAGAAGGTAAGGATATGTCCATACTCCCCAGCTATGACATGCTGTCAGAGGGAGAGAAAAAGGTAAGGATATGTCTATACTCCCCAGCTATGACATGCTGTCAGAGAGAGAAAAGAAGGTAATTACTGTTGTATAGATATTGTGGGTGTTGATATTGTCTGCAGTTGAGATAGCCTCAATAGTAGTGTTGGCAAATCGGACGATTTTGAGTAACCGGTTACTGACTTAATCTTCCGATCGAGTACCCGGTTACTCGTATGTTTTTTTTTATATTGTTTTCGTGTTTATTATTAATCTCACCCTTTTACTTATTGGTAGAAATAAACCACAAATGTAACGTATATGAACATTATATGAATACAAACTAAAAGAAACAAACACACAATATCTTTGAAGAATTTTGATTTTAAATGTGACTTGAAACGGGCAGTCTGTTTATTTTTGAGAAAATAATTTTATCAAAACATGAGGGCAAACGATTTTGCAACTTGATGATAACATTTCGTGTCATGGAGAAAATGCGTTCTGGTCGTACTGAACTAGCGGGAATTGCTAAGAATCATCGAGCGAGAATGGATATAGCCGTGTTTATTTTTTCCGAAATATGTTTCAATCTAAGGTGATTTAGAATATGTGTAGTTCCACCCCTATACGACAACTTTGATTCACAATAATTTGCATCTTACAGATTTTGAGTCAGTCGCTCTTTAACAATATTTCCAAGCTTTAGATGTTTGTAGCGGCATTTTGTTAAAGCATGACCCTCTGACTAACACAGGTCTAAATGGGGTAATTATAACGCAGGTCTTCAAAATGTGTACCCTCTGGCAATTAAAGTCATCAATTAAACTAATCAAAACAAATCGATCCAATTAGTGAACCTCTAGAGCAAGCCTAACGGTAATTAAATTAGGGAAATGTGTCAATATACATTTACAAATAACTTAAAAATTATTTTTTACGTATTTACTATGAAAAATGTATTTTTATCCGTGTAACAGAGTAGCAGTTTTATTAACCGATATTCGCATAACCGGGTACTCGTTGCCAACACTACTCAATAGAGTATGTATTGTCAAATGCTTTTGACTTAAATATAGACAACCTCAATAGAGTATTTTTAGGTAAACTGCAATATAGAACAATTAAGAATTTAAACTTTTTGCAGTAGCTTTAATTTTGTGAAATTTTACTGCATGTAGTGTATAATGTTAAAAACACACTTACTTGAAAGGCTCTTAATTTTAAATCTTTGATTTTTTTGTAGCTCTGCAATTCCATTGGGATGACCCCAGCAAACTATATGACCATCAAAACTTGTATAATCAAGGTGAGATTAACACTTAAAAGGAAGACATTGTCAAAATTCCAAGAGGTGCCAGTAGATATGTATAATTGATATTTCCAGTCAAAAATCATAAACAGCGGATTCCTAGAAAAGTATTTGATAATATCCAGAGAATAATGTAAGTTCTTATGTTATCAAAAGTTAAGATGATGATGAAACATGCTTTGAATCTGAACAAAATATTTGTAGGACTACCTACAGCGTCGGCAGGGTATCCCAGTCAAGATCCGCTATCCTAGCGGGCTGGACAAGACCCACCGACGGAAAATCATGAGCTTCCTGACGGACAACGGCTGGATCATGGCTGTCTGAAGGAGGTGAAAAGGGAGGGGTAAACAGAGAAGGGGCCAGTGGGAAGAGGCTGGTCTTCACGGAGCAGGGAATTACAGGAGAGAGGGACCATGTGATGTAAGGCGGGGCTGTGAGAGGCTGAGGAAGTGGGGGCACCACACCTGCTGACAGACAAAGTGATTGAAGGATGAGAGAATGGATTTCTTAGTAAAGGAAAGGATTTGCAATAATTTAAAAAAATGTACAAAACTGGTTATGCTTATGTTGAACAGAGAGCACTAGAAACGTTTATGTTTTGTGGTTTGTTAAAGCATTGTCTTTAGTTTTGGTTTTTGAGGTAAAAATGCAACTAGAAGTTGTAAAAAATAGTTATTAAAGGTGATGAGAGATATTGATGTACACACTTGTACATGTATGCACTGCCATGGAACACTCAAAGTTCTTTGTACATAGATATTACCGCCTGTTTTCTTCTAATCATTTTTTCCGTCCAGGAAACTTGATGTTAATTTTTTGCTTCTTAATGTTTATATTCTGTGTTAGGCACTCAGAAATTCCATTTATTACTGTACATGAATTTTGTAAGGAGGATAAAGAGTCATGTTTTGGCAACTTCAATAGTGACTTACGGTTCATATAATTTAAATTCATTATTTAAGAATGAATTCCCGTAGAATTGATAGAACAAATGAAAGTGCAGATTCATTTCAATTTTCTCCAAAGGTGTCAAGTTCTAAACACTCAAACTATTGTACATCCAGTATTCATATTTCATATTAACATGATTAATCATTGAATCATTAATTAAGGTCTGAGTTCACTGTTAGTACTCTAAGGTGAGATTGTGTCAATGTTTTATTATTGTACGACTCGTACAGATTTTTATCTTTGTATAAAAGGTTTTACATGGTGTGTGTTTTTTTTATTAGTTAATTGTGTAATTTATTTTGTATGGAATTGTATGATTGATTGATTGATATAAAATTTTGTGAGGTTTCACCAGGAAGTCTGGAATTTCATCTAATGAGATTTATTTCTGTTCATAATGAACGTAAGCTTTAATTTAACTATTAAAAATACAAAAGAAATTCTGTTGTGTTTTTAATGCATTTTGGAACAGCATTTTTGCAAATAAATGGTGATGGGTCATGAAGTACACTGTTGGATGAATTCTAAGAAACAGAAAGCAGAAATACAGACACAAACATGACAAAACTTGACAGTGATTAATTTTTGAAGAGAATTCTAGTACATGAATGTGTTTTATACTAGTCATCAAGTATTTCTCAGATTACTGGACCTGGCTTGTTATTACTGAATCTTGATTTCCCGGAACCTTCATGTGTGCATTTTCCATTTAGAAATTTAGTTTTTAGGAGCTTTACCAGGGAACTTGACAAATCTTTATGAGCGTTTGTCAGGAATTGGAATTGAAGCTGAAGGTGCAAAGTAACTCTATTTCAATGTTACCGTTAATGTCAAAGGACAGGCTATTAGCGTTGACACAGGACTTGGCTTTTGGATCCATTATGTTATTTCATGTTCAAAGTAATCATGCATTCCTCTGCATGAACACAGTGTTTTCCACTGTCCTACATTAGCCAGGTATATAGAACATATTATTGTCATACAAAAATTATTATAGAGCACCAAGTATAGTAATCTCAGCGAGATGTCGTAGGGACTAAAATATCTGGTCGGACGTCCACTAAATCCCTAATAACTTTATATGGCACCTGTCTGAGATGTCGTAGTGGACGTCCGACCAAATATTTTAGTCCCTACGACATCTCGCTGAGATTACGAGTATAGCTTTTTATTAATTATTAATACTATTTAAATTTAGAAGTCCGTTTGCACAGGGCCAGTGTATAATCACCAGGTTTGATGGAACGCTGTAGATGTAGACAGCTGAAGAATGGAAATTAGTCGGTCATAGTTTACAGACTAGTAGAATATCAAAATATGAATTAAAGCAACTTTCTAAAAGGAATATTACATTCAGATATGTCTGCTATTCTAATTAAAATGTAACTGAATCTGGAAACTTAGCAAATATAAGTCAAAGGGTGGCTAATTATACAAAACTTTTAAAGCACTTATACAACCGTTATAGAATCTATCCGGAATTACGTAGGATTTTCGGAAATATCTTACTTTTACACAGACCGGAAATACGTTCTGGAGTGGAGTGACCGTCTGATTTGTCAACAATGAGACCCAGATAACAAATTCTAGAATGTGATTTCTTACTAATCGTAAATTAGATACTAAAAACAATGTCTGTAGTTGATAGGATAGTTTAAAAAGTGCAATGAACATAAGTTATGACGCTTGAACCGGCGTCCATCGGCTCACATCGTCACGGACTGGCGACCCCTTGGAAAAACTGTCAATACTGCTCTCTTCATTTTAAGTCCCCGCGGGAATTTTCTCGGCACTTGAGGGAATCCCACTGTTCTAAGGAGGGGGGATCTTACGTGTGTAGGTATGGGCCTAACAATATATGCCCCTCGCTGCCTCTGGAAGGTGTCAGTGACATGGATTATGAAAACCACATAGCACGGGACCATGTCCAGGCCTCGGGGAGAAAGAGATCGGGTCAGTATTGGTCAATGTCAGGGAGAAAGAGATCGGGTCAGTATTGGTCACTGTCAGGGAGAAAGAGATCGGGTCAGTATAAGTCGATGTCAGGGAGAAAGAGATCGGGTCAGTATTGGTCACTGTCAGGGAGAAAGAGATCGGGTCAGTATTGGTCAATGTCAGGGAGAAAGAGATCGGGTCAGTATTGGTCAATGTCAGGGAGAAAGAGATCGGGTCAGTATCGGTCAATGTCAGGGAGAAAGAGATCGGGTCAGTATTAATCAGTATCAGGGAGAAAGAGATCGGGTCAGTATTGGTCACTGTCAGGGAGAAAGAGATCGGGTCAGTATAAGTCGATGTCAGGGAGAAAGAGATCGGGTCAGTATTGGTCACTGTCAGGGAGAAAGAGATCGGGTCAGTATTGGTCACTGTCAGGGAGAAAGAGATCGGGTCAGTATTGGTCAATGTCATGGAGAAAGAGACCGGATCAGTATAAGTCGATGTCAGATGAGCTTGATTAGGCTGTTATGTAGAAATCTAATCGGTAAATAAATGATGCTGCTTCCATTTAAAGCTCAACATAACAATTGTTCTGTTGTCGATGCAAGATGTAATGTTGTATGAATGCTAAAAATGGAAACTTTATTGTGAAAGGATTATAATTATATGAGTTGGGTTATATTTCATATCATCTAAATTTAAGAACGGTAAAGAATTGCATGACAAATGCACAGGAATAGACTGAATCTGATTGAATATCGTTTCAAACGCAGGTTTTGTATTTAATTTTGTAGAGACCCAGGAGGACCAGTGTTTTGTTGTGTCGCCTCCAGGGACAATTCCGTCAGTCGTGCACGACCAGCACAGATGGACGGTGTTTGATTCCAAGGTCAACCTACCTGCGGCCCTGAATGACCCCCTCAGGGTCAAGAGAGAGACCGACTTCTTCACCAAAACCTGGGGCCAGGAATTCTATGAAAAGATGTATGTCCCAGAGTCCAGATATCTTCCAGAAATTGACAGGAGATTTTTTGAAAAATATAAGCATAGAATTTCAAAGGTAGGGAAATTTGTTTGGTTTTCTTCTCCCGCCTGACTTTAAATGGCATACACAAAATTTTTTTTAACCTCATGGAAGCAATTATTTCTATTATGCACTCTGGAAAAATAGATTTTTAAAAAATTATGCATCATTGATCATGTTGATGTTGAAATTTTCTGAGAAACAAAATTTTCTCACCTTATCATGCTTACCAATCCAATTTTGAATCAGGAGAGGGCAAAGTAAGGCCTTTCATAGCTTTATTTTACACAGCTGCATACATCATGTACATGGAAGTAAACAATTTACCGGCAGTTTTTATTTGCAGAGATATAGAAGGTATGCTAGATATAAACATCAGATTGACCAAGAAGCCCCAGGGGGAGAATCATTTCTTCAACAAATGGGTGAGTAAGAGTTGCTAAAAATTTTTAACAAACCGAAAAATTTATTTCTTCAACAATTGAGTGATTTTATAATTTCTTCAACAAATTGGCAAGTTTAGCATTTCTTCAACAATTGGATGAATTTAGGATTTCACACACACACAAAAAAAGGCGAGTTTATAATTTCATTTTTATATCATACACTTAACATATTAAGCTCATCTAAGTCAAAGATCAGTTTTATTTTTCTTATCAAAGTTTATTTTTCTAATCATCTGTTAAAATAGCTGTCCATACATGTATCTGTCTTATAACATTTCAGTGGTTTTCTTTTGTGTATTGTGATGTTAATTAAGGAATGAAGCTTATTTCAACTTATGTTATCCGATATATAACATAACTTGGGGCAGTTTACGCGAAGCGGTTTATAAGAAAGCGTAAACTGTCCCAAGTTTTGTTATATCAGATTACATAAGTTGAAATTAGCTTCATTCCTTATAATTTAATTTCAGTGTAGATAATGAGACAATATTTCCTCCAAAAAAAGGCTTCAAAGTGTGCATTATTTTAAAAGTAACGTCAAGCGGAGTGATACGTTTTTGACGTAACTCATTGTGACGTATGCAAGTTATGTTATACAAAATGTTATATGTTCCTCTGAATGATTCAGCCAATGAAATTGCTTGGTACAAGTGAAATTAAATTATTTTGGTGTAATAGATGTACATATCTGAATATACATATGTATTTGAATTATTTTTTTCTTGCAGAAAAAAACAGAGCAGAACTCCAACAATTACCAAAGGTAAATCATTAAACTTGTAAATGATGTTGTAATTCATATACATGTATTACTTTACTGTAAACTTGATTAGTGTTGTATACCACCACTGTAAATAAGAAATACAAGATTTCATATACTTAATACACAGCATCTCTCAATCTATGGCAAACTTTTACTTTAATTTTTGTAGCATCACAAAAAGAGTTGTCAAACATATTCAAAGCATGTTTTGGTCGCTGTATATTGCGGCTGGCCATCAGTATAGATGTTGTATTTTATTGTTATTTTGTGTTTTGTAGTTGTTCATGCTGTCTAACTTTGACCTGTTTTGATGTGTTTAATATTTTGTTGTTCTGTCATGTTTTGTAATTGTTCATTCTGTCAAAATTTGACCTTTATTGATGTATTTGATATTTCATTGTTCCATCGTGTATTGTAGTTAATTAGTTGTTCATGTTGTGGAACTTTGACCTGTATTGATGTATTTACTGTTAAATTGTTCGGTCATATTTTGTAGTTGTTCATGCTGTCAAACTTTGACCTGTATTGATGTATTTACCGGTACTATTTATAATTGTTCTGTCATGTTTTGTAGTTGTTCATGCTGTCGAACTTTGACCTGGAGAATTCGGACACATTCAATGCTGTGTTTCCGTGGTCACAAGTAGAGGAGTGCAAGAAAAATGGAGGATCATCCCAGTCCTCCAAACTTCTACAAGAGAAGGTAAAACAAACAAACAGTGCTCTTAAACATGTTAAGCTGTACAGCAATATTGTGTCAAGTTATAGATTCTTCAATCTATAGTTGTCAATTCACCTTTACAGCAAATTACATGCTTCGATTCCTTTTATGTATAAAAATCAAGAAGTCTGTTTGAATTCCATTGAAATAAACAACATTGGTAAATAATAAATGTGTATTTTTTAGACACGTTTTCTGAAAAAACATAAAATAAATTGTGTATTCTTTTGAATAAGAATCTCTTATATTCTCCCTTTGATTTGTTAATCATGTTAATCATGGTAAGTTGTTAGATTGTTTTTTATGGTAAAGCTATCTTTTTTCTCCAGTTGAGCCATTACTTGGATGTGGTGGAGGTACACATCGCTAAACAGATTTCTACCAAGTCTGACACCTTCTTCCAGGCCGTGTCGTCCCACGACGTTCTACAGGAAAACATGCTGAAGACCTGTCAGACCATCAAACAACTGAGGTACAGGCAAAATGGACATTCCTATTTAGAAGCCTATATTTTATCTTGAATGGAAGAATATACATTTTAATACATCATCAATTTAAAAATAACAAAACCATTAAAAAAAAGTTTTCAGTACATTTTGATTAAGATCTTTATAGACAGTGCTGACAATCCAGTCTGTTTAGAAAGTTCTATAATTTGGTTTCTGACTGTCAGAGCTCTAAGATTTTGACTGTCAGAGCTCTAAGAATATGGTTTTTGTCCTTCAATTTCTACTAGGGATAAGATCCACAGCATTGATGAACTCTTGACCCAGGGGTCATTAAAGATAATGAAGCTGTCCCAGACCAGGGCAAACTATGTCAAACTTCATGATAAGGTCAGTATTGACAGAGTCAAGGGTCAACAAAACATGTACCAGTGGTACAGATTTGTAAATAGTAAACAAAAAGACTGTTTTCAAACATAGTTTTGGCAGATGTGACTGGTTGGCAGGGGGATGCTCAGTCCTCCACAGCACCTGATCCCATCTCTAATGTTTTGGTGGGGCCTTGTTTGCCTTGCCCCTATTTTGTATTGTTTAATGGACTTTTGAGCTGTGAATCCTGTTCGTTATGTCCATATATTTCATAGTCCTTATTGAGATTAAGTTGTATCACTGAGTCTTTATTCAAGTCCATTCATTATTTGTATACTTCAGCTGAAGTTGATGTCTACGGTCCACCAAACACAGCCAACCATTCAGCTGTTACTGTCCACTCAGGAGTTTGTAGGGGCACTAGATCTCATCTCTACCACCCAGGAAGTCCTGACTCAGGAACTGGCCGGGGTCCACAGCTTCAGGTATATCATACTATATACACACTGAAGTTGTGAAAATGTCAAATGAAATGCAGAGGCCCTTTTAACAAAGGCAGAATTTGTCACTAGGAATACTATACCAGTTTCATTTGAATTTCCATCAGTTATCAATGTACATGTACAACTTCCATAAAAATAATTCTTTTTTGTATATTAAACTACAGTACAACTTTGATATATAAATGAAATTACTCTGATGAAAACATTTATTGTTTAAACTATTTTACGGTAACCATGTTTAAGTGATGCACAAAGTTTTTATACTGCAAAAAGACATGAAAAATTTATTAAATTTGAACTTAGACATATTCTTACTTGAGTCCCTGACATATATAATTTATATTTATGATTGTAGACACTTAAGTTCCCAGCTGGCAGAACTGGAGAATATCATTGAGAAAATGTTACAGGAGGACTTTGCTAAGTGTGTGTCCGCGGACCTCAATCGTCCTGTCACAGACAAAGAACCTTTGCTGGAAGAGGTAGGTCCAGGTCAAAGTAAATCTGTAAGGCAAAAAAATATCATCTTTAGTTTCTCAGACCAAAAACTTATAATGTGATGGGCTGGTGGATTTTTTTTTTCAAATGATAGTGAACAACCAAATCTGACTTTTTTGTCTCTTATATTATTTGATTCTAAATAAACATTTAAATAATGTTTTTGAAAATGTTAATTAAAAGTTAAATGATGAAGTGGGAAACATAAAATCTAAAATGCTTTTCAAAGATATTATCAATGTGACAGTGTTTGACCTAGTGTAGGGTCGCATGAGAAACTCAAGATATTTTTCTTCCTAAATAAGGATCTTTTATATCATAATTTTACTAATTGATGCTCCCCTGAACACATGATTTTTTTAAGTGCATAGACGTGTATCAAATTATACTGATTAGATACTAGTTCTTTATCTCAGTCTTTAACTGAACTTCATTTTATTGTGAGGCTAGGAAAAATTTGTATGTATATATTTTATAATAAATGATATGAAATGAATGATTATATCAATACTGCATCATAGTCATGCAATTATCTTGGATTTTTCAGGAGAAGATTGTCTCCCTTGTGTTTGGAATGCTCAGGAAAAGTCGCTTTAATTTTGTCAATGTATATAGAGAGGAGGCTTTTACAGCATTCAAGGCTATAGTTAAACAGGTTAGTATATAGGGGTCAAGGCCATTGGTAAACAGATTAGTACAGAGGGGTCAAGGGCATTGTTAAACAGGTCAGTACAGCAGGGATAAGGCCATTGTTAAACAGGTTAGTACAGCAGGGTCAAGGGGCTTGTTAAACAGGTCAGTACAAATGGGTCAAGGCATTGTTAAACATGTCAGTGCAGAGGGGTCAAGGCCATTGGTAAACAATTTAGTACAGCAGGGTCAAGGCCATAGTCAAACAGGTCAGTACAGCAGGGTCAAGGTCTTTGTTAAACAGGTTAGTACAGCAGGGTCAAGGCCAGTGTTATTCATGTCAATACAGAGGGCCTGAGTTACACATATTAGTGCAAAAAGGTCAAGGTCATTGTTTAACAGGAAAGTACAGAAAGGTCAAGATCATTATCTATCCATTGCAGAATGGTAATCATGAAAGCAGGTATAAGTTTTATATATCAAGAAGATAAAAACAAAGCTAGATTAAGGAATATTATAGTCAATCATTATAAGGCAAATGTTTGACCAATGTACCTTTCACAGAGCACAGTGTTTAAGACAGTATATATAGTGTAGCTTAATTATGCCATGTGATTATCAGGGAAAAAAAACAGTGGTGTTTCTATTTACAGACTGTGGTAGAGGCCGTGTCAGAAGCTGAGAATGTTGACACAGAGGATGAAAACATCACCAGGTATAGTATCTGTTGTATATAACCTGGATATAAAGGGGTCACTGATCTCAAAATCACCAGGTATAGTATCTGTTGTATTTAAAGGATTCACTGGTCTCTAAATCACCAGGTAGAATATCTGTTGTATATAAAGGGGTCACTGATCTCAAAATCACCAGGTATAGTATCTGTTGTATATAAAGGGGTCACTGGTCTCTAAATCACCAGGTATAGTATCTGTTGTATCTAAAGGGGTCACTGATCTCTAAATCACCAGGTATAGTATCTGTTGTATATAAAGGGGTCACTGCTCTCTAAATCACCAGGTATGGTGTCTGTTGTATATAAAGGGGTGACTGATCTCTAAATCACCAGGTATAGTATCTGTTGTATATAAAGGGGTGACTGATCTCTAAATCACCAGGTATAGTATCTGTTGTATATAAAGGGGTCACTGGTCTCTAAATCACCAGGTATAGTATCTGTTGTATATAAAGGGGTCACTGGTCTCTAAATCACCAGGTATAGTGTCTGTTGTATATAAAGGGGTCACTGGTCTCTAAATCACCAGGTATAGTATCTGTTGTATATAAAGGAGTCACTGATCTCTAAATCACCAGGTATAGTATCTGTTGTATATAAAGGGGTCACTGGTCTCTAAATCACCAGGTATGGTGTCTGTTGTATATAAAGGGGTCCTTGATCTCTAAATCACCAGGTATAGTATCTGTTGTATATAAAGGAGTCACTGATCTCTAAATCACCAGGTATAGTATCTGTTGTATATAAAGGGGTCACTGGTCTCTAAATCACCAGGTATAGTGTCTGTTGTATATAAAGGGGTCACTGGTCTCTAAATCACCAGGTATAGTATCGGTTGTATATAAAGGGGTCACTGGTCTCTAAATCACCAGGTATAGTATCTGTTGTATATAAAGGGGTCACTGGTCTCTAAATCACCAGGTATAGTATCTGTTGTATATAAAGGGGTCACTGCTCTCTAAATCACCAGGTATAGTATCTGTTGTATATAAAGGGGTCACTGCTCTCTAAATCACCAGGTATAGTGTCTGTTGTATATAAAGGGGTCACTGGTCTCTAAATCACCAGGTTTAGTGTCTGTTGTATATAAAGGGGTCACTGGTCTCCAAATCACCAGGTATGGTGTCTGTTGTATATAAAGGGGTCACTGATCTCTAAATCACCAGGTATAGTGTCTGTTGTATATAAAGGGGTCACTGGTCTCTAAATCACCAGGTTTAGTGTCTGTTGTATATAAAGGAGTCACTGATCTCTAAATCACCAGGTATAGTATCTGTTGTATATAAAGGGGTCACTGATCTCTAAATCACCAGGTATAGTGTCTGTTGTATATAAAGGGGTTACTGGTCTCTAAATCACCAGGTATGGTGTCTGTTGTATATAAAGGGGTCCTTGATCTCTAAATCACCAGGTATAGTATCTGTTGTATATAAAGGAGTCACTGATCTCTAAATCACCAGGTATAGTATCTGTTGTATATAAAGGGGTCACTGGTCTCTAAATCACCAGGTATAGTGTCTGTTGTATATAAAGGGGTCACTGGTCTCTAAATCACCAGGTATAGTATCGGTTGTATATAAAGGGGTCACTGGTCTCTAAATCACCAGGTATAGTATCTGTTGTATATAAAGGGGTCACTGGTCTCTAAATCACCAGGTATAGTATCTGTTGTATATAAAGGGGTCACTGCTCTCTAAATCACCAGGTATAGTATCTGTTGTATATAAAGGGGTCACTGCTCTCTAAATCACCAGGTATAGTGTCTGTTGTATATAAAGGGGTCACTGGTCTCTAAATCACCAGGTTTAGTGTCTGTTGTATATAAAGGGGTCACTGGTCTCCAAATCACCAGGTATGGTGTCTGTTGTATATAAAGGGGTCACTGATCTCTAAATCACCAGGTATAGTGTCTGTTGTATATAAAGGGGTCACTGGTCTCTAAATCACCAGGTTTAGTGTCTGTTGTATATAAAGGAGTCACTGATCTCTAAATCACCAGGTATAGTATCTGTTGTATATAAAGGGGTCACTGATCTCTAAATCACCAGGTATAGTGTCTGTTGTATATAAAGGGGTCACTGGTCTCTAATCCTCCACAGAAATACAGTGAAACATAGTTACAACATAATGCATAAAGCAAACACTAGGTATATATGTCTTAAAAAGATTTACTGGTCTGTAATCCTCCTCAGAAATATAGTTAAACATTGATAAAGCAGACCATCATAAGGAAAATTAATGTGTTTATAAAAGTCATGCTTTGTCAACAAGAAATACATGATTGTATACAGCTGTACATGCTGGATATGATACAAATATTGGCATAATATATCAGCTTACACATTCATGATTTATGGTATACATCAAAATACAGGAATTTAATTTATTTTTCTGCAAATGTTTATTAGATCATTAAAATGAATTTAATTTAATATGTTTTATTGGTTACCTTGTTATAACTTTGTTCTGCAGCCTGGCCGATCAGATGAGGATGCTGAATTACTCTCAATGGATGGAATTGATCAAACAAATCTTCTCTAATTTATTGGTGCATCTCAACAGAGCAAAGGTAATGGGAATTAAATCATAATCAGAAATCAAATAAATAATGAAAAAATGGGACATTGCATTTGATAGAAGTTCAGTAAAAATAGGTTTTGCCTGTGTTTTGCATGAAAGCACTTAACATTTATTGTTCATGCTGCATTGCATCTTAGGAACAAATAAATGTTGGAGGAAAGTGAATTTCCCCTTCAAAAATTCAAGTTCAATCTCTTCAATATTGTGAAGAAAATATGAGATTTTATAAATAGTAAAATGTAGATAAACCCTGATTTCTAAAAATTGATTTCTTTGATTTTTTTGAAGCCTTACTCCCTACACAGTTTTAG